GAAACGTTTTCTGGCGCGTGGCATGTTGATTGAATTTCACAACTCGACTGCTCTTTAATTCATGTCAATCCCTTTTTAATTCCCTCTCACCCTCCAATACACACGCACAGTGTGGTGAGTTATGACGTACACTATCTGTCTCACTCATGCCCACGGCCAGACTACGTTGACAGAATTATGTATCTGCCTCGCACGAAAGAAAGGGGAACCACAAAGAAATAAAACAAATGTGTACCAACAAATAATCGTTATAATTTGAATGTTTAAATTATTCTGCGACACGGCCTTCCTGACCTATCTCACGTCCTCGTGAGTTTGCAATATAAAGGTTTTACAAAATATTCTCTTGTTATTATTATTATTATTTTCCTTTTAATACATATTCAATTCAAGCAGGTTTCGCGAAAATACATTTTTCTTCTTAAATAAAAATTGAACAAATTATTTCTTACTCTTATACAACGCTTGCCATGAGATTCAGATTACCACCAACTTAAATTCAAACAATTAAAATTATTCAGCCTTTTCTTTCATAAGGCAATCATATTCTTCATTTCATTTACAAAAATCATGCCAACAACTAGCACACAGTCATTAACAAAATAAACTGGCCAGCCAATAAACAAGTTAATTTAGCCCACAGCTTATATCCAGACAAACCGGCCATCACAAATAGCTCACAGTTTAGTTTATAAGCCGGCCAAATAACTGACGTCCGATCATTACCAAAATTTCAATATTAATGCAGCAAATGGAGAACCACATAACTCGGGCGCTCACCTCTACAGAAAGTCATGAAATATGGAACCGATCCGGAAAGGTCTTTATTCTATTTCAAGATCACAGCCCTCGCCGGCTTGATCTGTGGCATCTTCATCACTGACTTCATCATTCAGTTCTGTGATTTCTTCATCATCACACTCATCATCCAACTCTGTGGTAATCCCCTTCTCAGGCATACGCCTCAAAAATTCGTGAGAATATTTATAGGTTCTATTATTAGTTAGTGCCTTAAGTTTATACCGATCTCCTTCCAATATTTCGGTTACTAAAAACGGTCCTCTAAACTTAGGGTCTAATTTTGTCTGATGTCGCTCTTCGTTCTTAAGCAAAACGTGATCACCAACTTTATGTCTTACAATAGTAGCCTTATCTTTATCAAATCTAGCCTTATCATAATTGGCGTTCTTTTCCATGTTTTGCTTAGCCATTTCTCTAACTTTATCAATATCAACATCGTTCTTATTTTCAACAACAGGTACGAGACCAAACGGCCTTGCTTCTTTGCCAATAAGTAGTTCTAAAGGGCTAACCTTAGTCACTCTATTGGGCGTACAATTAAGAGCCAGTTGAATTTCGCATAAAGCATCTTGCCATGACCCCTGACCTGTCTCAACCGCTGTTAGCATGGACTTTAGAGTACTCATAACTCGCTCTACTTGGCCATTGGCCCGACTAGCACCCGTGGCGATCAGATGCAAATCTATCTTTTGAACCGAACAGAAATCACGGAATGCTGTGCTTGAAAAACTACGTCCCTGATCTGCGATCAGACGAGAGGGTACGCCGAACAATGATATTTGTGATCTTAATGCCCTAATACAGCTCTCGGTGTCTAGCCTCGATGTATGAGATAAAAAGACAAACTTCGTGAAGGCGTCTATTGACACGATTATGTATTCCTTCTGTTCATTTTTACCACTAAGCTTCCCTGTGATGTCGATGTGGACTGTATGCCACGGGATGTTAACCTTTGGTATGGGATGCAATTCCGCTTGTACCCTACCAGATGGGGGCTTTGACAATCTGCATGTAATACAGTTGTCGACAAATTTGCGAACGTATTTGGACATCTTGTCAAACCAATAGTATTCGTACATTTTCTCAAGGGTTTTTCCCAACCAAGGTGCATAATTGACTCGTGCACATTGTTTACAGCTGACCACCTAAATGGCTTTGGGATGATAGGGAGACAACGAGTCTTTCCGTTTCTTTGAATTTTCCTATACAGCATTCCTGCCCTTAACTCGAACGTTTTGGCCAAATCCTCAGAAAGATCATCGTTACGCAATTTAGAAACAATAGACGACGTTTCTACGTCTCGTTGCTGCTCAGCTAACAACCAGTTGTCAGTAATCTCTGTTAAATTTATATGTTTTTCCACTGTACCTTTTGACTGGATGCGATCTTTTGATATGGGATTTCGAGACAGAAAATCTACGTGAGCCATTCGTTCGCCTGGCCTATACTGAATGTCAAACTCAAAAGATTGCATGTACGACCACCACCTATGGACTCTTGGAGTCAGTTCCGCTTTTGTGCGAGATGCCTTGAGAGAATTGCAATCGGTAAAAACGATAAAATGTCGACCATGCAAGTAATGGCGAAAATGCTTAATAGAATTGAAAACTGCAAGTGTTTCCAACTCATACGAGTGATAACGCGATTCCGCTGACGAAGTCCGTTTACTAAAGTATTCGATAACTCGTGGCTTGTTTTCGATTTTGTGCAACAAAATTGCGCCATAGCCATCGGCACTCGCATCTGTATGAAGCTCAATAGGAAATTGTGGATCGAAAATAGTAAGAACAGGTTCACTAGTCAGGATTGAAATTACCTTCTGTCGTATTTGCTCGTGCTCTAATTCCCATGAAAATGACATGCTTTTTGAAGTTAGAGCATAGAGTGGTTTCAGTAACTGTGAAAACTTGGGTACAAACTGACGAAAATACGAGACCAGTCCAATAAATTGTCTCAGTTGAGTCACAGATTGCGGGAGGCGGTAAATCTATAAGAGCTTGTATTTTTCTAGGATTCGGTCGAATTTCACCTGCTCTAACTTCGAAGCCCAAATATTCTACACAAGATTTAAGAAAGGAGCATTTTTTAATGTTGAAAGAAAATCCTGCTTCGACGAGTGCTTGTAGAGTTATTTTTTAGCCTGTCGAAAGCTTCCTCCTTTGTGCGTGCAACTATCATTACATCGTCCATATAAACGATGGCATATGTATGAGTCAGATCGCCTAGGGCACGATTAATGGCCCTCTGGAATACAGAAGGCGCATTTTTAAGCCCAAAAGGCATAGCCAAGTATTCATACTGCCCTTCTGGGGTTACAAAAGCTGTCCGTTCAATAGAGCTTGGATGTATTGGGATCTGATGGAAGCCACTCGCCATGTCAATGCACGTGAAAAACCTAGCACCACTCAACCTAGCTATCTGGTCAGATATAAGTGGCAATGGGTACTTGTCGGAAACGGTATTGGCATTAAGCTCACGATAGTCAACACACAGACGGTCTGTACCATTTTTCTTGCGGACAAGTAACATCGGACTCGCGAAAGGAGAGGAACTGTGTCTTATTATGTTTGCTTCCAACAGCTCTTGAATGGAATGTCTAACCTTTTCTTTTTCTTCCACACTCAATCGATAAGGGCGTCTCTGAACCGTCCTATTCTGATCAATCAAGCGAATCTCTAACTGTCCCGTAGTCACGCGACTCTGTGGTATACCGTTTATAAAAGAATTTGAATACCCCCTGTAATATTGAGAGCAGTTTGTCTTTATCCTGCCCATGTAAATCGGTATCGACACCAGCCAGGTCAGGAGTGCATTCGGAGACTACGACAGGTAATACAGACTTTTCGTTAAACATAGTAAGCGCGCTTGATGTAATTGTCACGCCGATGCCCTGGCTCAAAATTTCCCGGCCAATCAGAGCGTCGTATTTGATATGATTGTCTAAAACTACGTGAAACAAGATTTCGAAAGAACGCTCACAAATTAAAACATTCGCCAATATCTGTAAAATGCTGCAAACAGAGTTGTCACCTATACCCCTCAATGTCACTACGTTATTTATTCTAGTGCCGGATAATCTCAGTGATGCAGTCTCTTTGATGAGTGAACATTCGGCTCCGGAGTCGAAGTAAAATTGGAACGACTCACCAAACTGCCGCAACGTTCCTAAGGGCTCAAGTACTGTGCATATGTTTACGTCTTTGATGGTATTGCTCTTCATCGGCGGGCGCTCCTGACGATCTGGGCACACAGTAGATACATGTCCAGCTTTTCCACATTTATAGCAGATCACGGATGATCGATCTTTTGCTCCAAATTGTTGATTACGGGGCTGCTGACGCTGAGTTGCCTTTTTATTAAAGCGACATTCTTGTGTCCGGGTTTGCCACAATTATGACACGTGATGTGAGACATAGTCCTGACTCTTTTTCCTTGGGGTGCTGATAAGTTGTCACTCGAATGCTGGTTCTGTCTAGTGTCGAACGAAAAGGCTTTGAGTTCCTGATGCAGCTCGTTTCTGGTTTTGATATCCGTCGTAAAAACCAAACGGCGCAATCGTTTGTCTATCCCAGCTGCATGTGCCAACGTAACGGATACTGCAATCTGCTCGACGCTAAGTGACTTCCAGCGGGCCATAAGTGATGTGACCATTCTGCTTCCATACAGCGACAAGCACTCTCCTTCGTTTGGGCGTGCATTTAGCAAATTCATAACGGTTGCGGCCAAAGTCTCCGTTCCAGAAAAATATTGCAAAAATAATTCTCGGAACTGCGTCCACGTAATGCCGGGAAAACATGTCTGCGAGAGCCAGTGAGATGCGGTGCCTTCCAGTGATTTGCTGAGGGACATTACAAGAGCGCTGCCCACTAGCTGGTTTTCGGACAAGATGTAGTCGACCGTTGAACACCAGGAGAGAGCGTCTGATCCTGCACGATCAGGGTTGAACTTTGGCAGAACAATGTTTTTGGCATCTTTTGGTTCATTTTGAGAGCACTGCACCTGTTTTATTAGCTCAGCGAAATTACGATTTTGCATCTCCAAAATTGACAAAAGATTTGCATCATCGGCTGGAGGCGGAGGTAATCCCACTTCTGATGACGAGGATTCATTATCTGAGTCTTTGACCGGACTTTCGGCGAAACGTTTTCTGGCGCGTGGCATGTTGATTGAATTTCACAACTCGACTGCTCTTTAATTCATGTCAATCCGTTTTTAATTCCCTCTCACCCTCCAATACACACGCACAGTGTGGTGAGTTATGACGTACACTATCTGTCTCACTCATGCCCACGGCCAGACTACGTTGACAGAATTATGTATCTGCCTCGCACGAAAGAAAGGGGAACCACAAAGAAATAAAACAAATGTGTACCAACAAATAATCGTTATAATTTGAATGTTTAAATTATTCTGCGACACGTACATATATGCATAAACTGAGGCAATAGTAATGAATTTCTCCTGTGTAATTTCATTTCATTTACTATTTTGAATTTTTGAAGAGATTTACATACTCTTCGAGGGCGAGGCAACGGTGCATTGGAATGAAACCAGAACTACTAGCGTAAATGGAAATACGTCAAGCTATACGCAGCCTTTTCGGAGCAAACAAAGGTACCTAAACACCCGTTCTAATGTATTCGGATATGGAGTACTACCAGCTGGTACGCACACCTACAACTACTGCTTTCTCTTGCCACTGGACTGCCCCACTTCAGTGGTGGCACAGCATGGAAAGATCAGCTACGAGATCTCTCTGGTAATCAATCGCCATTGGCGATTCAACAAAGTCTATAAACATCCACTAACTGTGGTTCAGACCTACAACCTAAACATGAGTCCTCAATTGCTGGTAAGATTGGAATACTTTAACCTACTGAAAATTTCACTACCTTTCATAATATTATATATTTTGCAATCACTTACTTAGGCATTTTATCCAAAAATTTTGTAAAATGTTCCGTAGAAAATAGTGAGAGGGGATTACCTAAATATAATGTAGCTAAAAGATAGACAAAACCATTTCCCTCCACAGATACCGCTGGTGCGAGAGGAAGTCAAGCACTTTTGCTGTTGGCCATGCAGTTCCGGTCCCGTTCTTTCAACTCTCACAATACCTTTCGGTGGATATGCACCCGGCCAGAAGATCCACTTCACCTTGGAAATCGATAACCAATCGAGTGGCTATGACCTGGACGGAATCGAAGTTAAATTGAAGCAGAACTTCTTGTTTGAGGCCAACTCCCCTTACAACAAAACGCGTGAGCAGGAGAACAGTCTAAGTCAAAGCTGCCAGGAGGAAAGGGTATTGCGATTGTCAAGTAAGATCATCAACTACACCTTGGCCATTCCATCGGTACCGCCGACCTCCCGCACCCAATGTATTATAATGGTGAGCTATCGTGTGGTTGTGTCGCTGAAGATGGGCAGCTGCCACAAGGACTCGGTCTTCGAAATGCCGATTGTCATTGGCACCATTCCTTTAATCCAGAGCGCACGAAATCCATTTAATGGGGTGCAGAGGATACCAGAAACACAGAGTACCCCGGCCGTAACTGCTACAGAGCTGCCTCCTAGTTATGACAACTGCAGTAAGTACACAGTGGAGACTGAAGCTCAGACTCATTAAAAATATAAACTACTTTACGACGCAGGTTGCTTTTCAATTCGACAAATACTAATTTCATATATTTCTGAATACATCGATAGACCCACCAACCTTCGAGACGGCCACCAATTTTGGGGAGAGGTTTATAGACATGGATGTGGACGAGCACAATCACACGGATGACTTTATTCCGCGTTACCCGGTGTACACCAACTTTGCAATGCCGTCTGCGCCCCCTCCACCCTCTGAGGAACTGGATTCCCAATTCGTTCCTGTAACTTCCTCATAATGTCTAGCCCATTTATCCAATGATTGCTCCACCTAATCCAGCAAAATCCTTTAATTTGGTGGTGAAAAATATATTTATTTTGTGTACGTTAACTAAAAGATAAAATAAATTAGACGATCTTCTAAAGTAATAAAGTGCTTCTGTGCAATCAATGGGACTTGACTTCCTCAGACTGCGTCTGATCCATTTCGTAGTAGACATAGCGTGGTCTAAAATCCAACTGCTCCCCGGACAAATAGTTTTTGTTGGTCTTGTTCAGATTGGTGGCAACCATGAACTCGGCTTCACGGAAATTAGAAGCTGTTTACAGAGAGGGAAATATTAAGTTTGAGTTACGAAAATATAATACAAAGAGAAACGTACCCAAGGAAGTGGTTGAAACACTAAAATTTGGAGCCGACCTTTGGACTGTTTCGGCAGGAGGTGTCGGTTCCGGTGCAGTGCCATCCATCGGTTCTTGCATTAGAAGTTTACCAGGACATGGTGGCGTAACATTGCCAATGATTACCGGAATCCGTGCCGCAATGAAGCGTTTCTCCTGTTGAGTCCTGACCAGCACCTCCACCTCGTAGTTCAGCTGCAGGCAAGCGCATCCTGCCACACTCAAAGTGGCCGCTGTTTGTGGCACTTGCAGCATGTGTAGATGCTGAAAATTCTCTAATTCTCCTCGAGGAAGATTATGAAGCTCATGGCTGCTTGTTAGGATAGTTTGGCGTTCTTCCTTGGACTCCATGCGCTTGGGTTTATTCCTTAAGTGGGCAACATAGGTGCTGATCTGAACGAGGGAATAATTTACCTCGCGAAGTGGCAACTTCTCCGGATTGTGCAACTTCACGTGTACGGAAATTCCCGCGCCTGGCGAATAAGATGCCCTGGGAATCTGGAGCTGCAAGTTCAGCGGTTTTATCCAGAATTTGAGACGAGGAGTCTCCTCATGAATCTGTACTTCACTGCTTCGTGTCTCCTGGCTGAGACTGTTCTGCGGGAAAATCTGCAACTGGCGTACATTAAGCACCTCCATCGGACGATCCGCACTACTATGGATGAGCACCTGGAGTGTGTAACGAATGTGTCCGTGGGCTCCCTCGTAGTTACCGGGACAGTTCTTGGGTAGCTTCACATGAAAACCGTAATTGTAGGTGCCCGCCTCCATTATCTGGGGCTGTGAGGCTTCCGAGCCCACAAAATAATCGATTTTTGCAAAATAATCCACGCGATAATCAAAGTCCAAGTTCTGACTCTGCACCGGCGACTCCTTATTCTTTGGTTTCTTTGGCTTTTGGGGCTGCTGCCAGGCGGTGCTTGCATAGCCATTGGCCTCCAAGCTTATTGCTAATGTAAGAAAGATTATAGATTTAATATAAAGATATTTTTACATTTATAGAAGCTTTTATTCTTAGCAAATCATAATGTATCAAATTAGTTTCATTTCTTTATCAAAAAGTAAAATTTTTGGCATGACTAAAGTTGGGGACTGTTTTTAACAGACCAGAGAAAATATTTGCGGAAGCGTCTGAAGAATGTTTTAATTTACGATTAATATTTTTCGAACTTTAAGATAAATTTAGAAAATATTACATTATTTATATATGCTTTAATATCCTATCAATCGAAAATATTGCAGAAGTATTACTTAAAGTGTTTAATTTTATTGGTGAAATAAGAAATACAAATCATATTTAATGATAATGATAAATAGCATTAAACAAAAAAAAAACAAATAAAAAAATGAAATTCACAGGTAAAAACCAGTGAGAAAATGTGTATATTTTAGCAATCTCTTTGAGTTCTAACTATGAAAAATTGATTAATAAATTTAGCGATCGATAAGCTCACCGGTAGGTATTAGCATTTTGATTTTACGGCGACAAACGCTATCAGCAATTTGGCGAATTATAAACGAAACTAGATCTTGATCGATGAGTCACCGGCGCTCTATGGATGTAGCCTATGTACAGGGTAGCCCCATGAGTCATTGCTACTTACCTTTGATTAAAGCACGCTCCGAAAGGGTCAGATAGACGTGGCCATTGACCGTCTCACCGGCCCTATAGGCCCCCCGGGGATTGTCCAACTGGATGTCACAGCGATGGCTCATTTTCGACACTCTGCTCTCTCTGTTGACTGCTCGACGGCTAACCGATGTCTGGCAGTTGTTGACAATATGCTCGGCCATTAAGAACGGAACTTGAAGCGGCCTTATCGGTTATACTAGGTGTGAATGCTACCACAGCCATGGCTATTATCGGCATAGCCATTATCTAATCTGGCCTAGAACGCCTCCAGCGGAGTGTGCCGGGTGACAACGGTTATCGGGTATCAAACAATTTGTAATTTAATTAAACTGTATTACATCGCAGGACGGCAGGTGTAGCCTACATATGTGCGAAAGTTCTGAGTGAATGATGGATTCAAGGACATCAATATATATGAGGTGAACGTAAGCTGAAATTTTTATAAAATATAATCTTCAAAATAGATAATTAAGTTTCTTTTATAAGGTTGCAGGTTTTTACACCAAAACTTTACATAGTCCTAACCTTATCTAAGCACCAAAACATGTAATAGTTTTAAAATATCACCACTACCACCCCGTAATAAAAGTAATTAACTGATTGATTGGCTTGTATACTGCAGTTATTTATTGTCCACTTAAGAACGCATTAGTTGGTACTTAGAATAATTAGTAAATGTATCAATTAGATATTTAAACCATAAATGTTTGATGGATGTAGAAAAGCGGTAAATATGTGTGCTAGAAAAAAGGGGACTTTGGCACTCAATAAGTTCGATTCGATCAATTTTTGGATGGTACGCGAGAGTACAAATTTGCGCCATTAAGGCTCTCTAAAACTATACGACGGACTAGGATCCGGCCTATAAATCCTGAATAAGCCTTAGTCTTGAACACTTATGTTACTTGTTACTTGGGATGGCAATACGTATGTATATAAGACACTTTATCTTTAGAACAGGTGCTCATCCTGCATCTCTTCCCCAATTTCTGAAATTCGAGCCCGTGGAATTGGTCGATGCACCTGGGCAGTCACATCCAGGGTTTCTGGTTCGTCCTCAGCCTCCTGTACCTGCTCCTCGACATGCTCGGATAATGGACCGCATAGGGATCCGAATGTATCCAAACTCCGACCAGTATGATCAGTGTTTAAGGAGCCGTAGGACCTGTATATATGCATATCTAAGCCGGAGTCCTCCAGTCCATGGGCAGGAGCTGTACCGATAAGGGTACTGAATCCCGGAAACTTGGGTAAGTGAATGCGCTGCAAGACCACCGCGTGGTTACTCCCCAAAGTCTGCTGACTGCCTGCCAAGGTAGCAAAACTGAACGAGGGCGGAACTGCAAATATGAAAAAAAAAAAATTATTAAAAATTTCTATAAAAACGTTTTTTGTTTTGTAATACTAAAATATGTATAAGAGTATGTAAAATGTAATGGCTTAACTTTTTCCCTTTAAAATTAAAGTTTTATTGACGCTTTCATCAATACTAGTTTTAATATTAATACAACTTCTAAAGTAAGTAACTTATGACTTACAAAGAAATACAAAATTATTTTTAAAGTTAGGGTGGCCCATGTAGCGTTTGCTTTGAACAATCAATAATTTTGACTTTGACATTTCGAGTGTCATTGTCATTGTGTCAGATATTTAGTAGAAGGTTTACGAAATGGTTAAGCTTACGTTCGAAGTAAATTGGGAAATATTGATATTTTTATAGCGATTTTAGAAGGCAAATCTTGCGTGTTTATACTCGTATTACGTACAAATTGTCCTTGATTCAGTCAATCCAAAAGGCAAAAAGAAAACGAGGAATTACAAAAATAAATAAAAAAAAGTTCTATATCTTATTTCTATACTCTTACTAACTTACTGTACTCTAATTTACGTATTACGTATATAACGTATTAATATACATTTTAGATTACTTGAATGAGTTTTGCTTTTTTGTCTTGAACTTTTTGTTTGCAATTTACAAGCAAATAAATCAAAAAACATTGCAATGTTACGTATAGAGTATAAGAATTTCTTATGTTAATTTTTAAACATATTTATATATTGATATTGCAGCTTTTAGAAACAAATTATGCAATTCACAGAAAATAATAAAATTTATTGGACTGCATCAATATTTTATTAAAAGTCATGAACAACTGTTTAAGAACAATTATGCAATTTTAGAGTCAAGTTCATTTAAAATTCGGCTTTTATGAAACCTTAAAAACAGCTGTTTAACGATTGTAAAATAAATGGAAATTATCAGTGCATAATGAAGGGAATATATAAACACATATGTTTCACAATATGGGAATGGAGAAATATGTGCAGTAAAATGGTAGTTAGTTAAAATCGAGGTAAGTTTATGGCTTTTTGTCGTGGAAACTATTATAGTTTAAATAATTTCTAGTAATAAACAACAAAACTCACGGCAACTGTCATACGAAGGTGGCTCATCGTCCTCGATCGCCTGATGTGGTTCCTCGGTGACCGGATCCACTTCTGCTGCGGACTCCTCCTCCACCGTGGGCGGTCGCGGTGTGACCCGCTCGATCAGTCGCTGTCTCTCCGGCGTGGGCGTCCTCCTCGCTGGCTGCTGGGTGTGAACCGAGTTCCTGAGATGCTGCAAGGAAGTGGTGCCCACTATGATGGGCACCGAGAGGTCCGTATCGTAATGGAAGTACCCCGTCTTCAGTTTCACCTGCAAAGTATAGTGCAGGAAAACGATGTAGTTGGGATTTAGGGTAGATCTGGGCGTGTCCATAGGGCACACAGATACTGGACTCGTACTGCCGCTTAGACAGGCGCAGAGTGCGTTCCGAGATCAGCTCCTTGACTAGCGTTTTCGAGTAGAAGTTCCGTTTGACAGGCTTCCGCGACAGGAAGACAAAGTGCTGCTTGATGGATACTTCCACGCCGATGATGTCGTAGTGTGGCGACTGGTTGTCCACCTCCAAACGAAAGGGAACCTCCTGCAGAGGCGTGAATCCGGAGGCGGGCAAAGACAGGGTGGAGCAGATGGGACCAGAGATGCAGGGCCAATGGCAGAGATACTTCAGATTTTCGTCCTTAACAGGCAGCTGAGAATTAAATATAATTGAAATGAGTGGGAATATCAAGTGGGATGTATTATTGATATAAATAAACAATTAGGTAAAACAAAGAGCTAACATTGGGCTTCACGGACAAAGATTAAACTTTTCAACTTAAAACCATTTAATAAAAAATTCAAATTATGGCCCATTCGTAAGTTTTTTTTTAAGTTTTTAAAAAAGCATTGCTTTGAAAAATTGGACTTGCTTTTATGTTTATGAAATTAAAATCTTCAAATAAAATTAAGTTAAAATTAAATTTAAAAATGTTTTTAGCTCCTTTGTTATCAGAAAATTGATAACTGATTGGTATCAAATACTAAGACACTTCGTTAAAAATAAGAAGCACAAATTTCACATTTTCAAACTCAAAACCTAAAAGAACAATTGGCACTGCAAAATATATTAAAAACACCTTCTTTTTTATTATTATTATTAAAAAGGCATAAAATTGGCATTCACTTATTTTGAATATGAAAGTGATTTCCACTTTCTTATACATTCCTTAATAACTGATTACACATTAAAAACCACGAAGAAACACTTTTCAAACTTACTGCAAACTCCGTATTGTAATTGAGATCCAGCGTCTGGACCACGTTGATGGGCTTCCGGAAGACCTCGTCGAATCCCCAGGGCTTGTCGATGGTCAGCGAAATAGTGTAAGCTATATAGCCGTATGGACCCTTGCAGGTGCTGGGACAGTCCGGAGGTATCCTCAGAGTGAGCACGTACACATGGACGCCAGCCCGGAAGAGACTATTATCGAACACATTGGTGCGGGAGTGTAAATATTGCTGATGGCCTGAATAATTGGCCGTCTCGCTCTTGCCGCTCATCGACCACTGAACCTTGGCCTCGCCCTCTAGGGTCACATATACGGCTGGGAATCAGAATATATGTATAGTATTCCCCAGTGGGATAGAGTTTTTAAAAGTACTTCGAACCCACCATTGACCCGCTTCACCTTGTCCGTCCGTAACAGAATGCGGCCACTGATGTACTCGCCACTGTTGTAGACCGGATTCAGCCGATCCAGCTGAAAGACACAGGTGGTGGGCATGGCTGCTTCACTTCACTTCCTTCCGGTTTCGGTATTACCAAATCTTCATAACTACTTAATATATATATTTATCTAGAAAAGCAGAGCACCGAACAACCCAACTTCCACACAGCCAGACGCGCACTGAGTTCTCAACTGCGAGTTCTTTGTCAGCATCCGACGCCATCGGGCTTTCGCTTTTCGGGGAGTGGAGTTTTGGGGGCGTCGAATCAATAAGCTGGCGCCTTGCGTCTGTGTAGCTGTCTACTGTCTGCTTCTGGTCTAATATTTCAGCGCGAAACGTTCGGAAATGGAGCAGCTTTTGGCCGTGGGTCCTTTCGGTTTCCTTTGTTTGGCTTTGGCCAGCCCAAAACACATTATTACATGCGCACATATATGAACTGACTATGCGTGGCGAGGGGCCAACGGGGTGGATGCTGGCGAGGTCAGGAGCCAAAATCTACTATATACTGTCGCGCATTTCTGTTATTACCATATATCAAGCCGCCGATACAACGCCCGAAAGAATGTCAACAAAAATCGAGGCAGTGCGTCACAACAAGCACTTTGTTTTCGGGGTGTTGGCCACTGAGTAAACCCTTTGGCCACTTTGTTGCCGCATAACGTGGCACAATTAGGACCTCGAAATTATTTGGGCACTCACTCCATTAATCCTGCATGCATAATTCAGATAATGAGAACTCGTCTACTGGCTAGGGGGGTTAGGGCAAATAAATTGAGCTGTATGAAATGGGATGTTAAAATTCAAGACTTTACGACTGTATCTTTAATATATTTTTAAAACTAAGTTTTAGATTTTTCAGGACATTGATTGATGTATATTTGACACTGTTGTTAAGAAGATTTATTTCTGGAAACTTTTTATTGGCAAGCTTATACAATATAAATAACATACTAAATCATCTGAGAAAGTTTAATGTATATAAGCTACTGTTAACCCAAAGTCAGTTAAGTGTAAAAAAAATGTATTCAAAAGATTTTCAAGTTATTTTTGGTAGTCTATTGAGCATGTTGCGGTATTTCTATTATATCTCTTTAATATCGAAATAAATTGTTTGCTGTGCAGTTTCATAACGACTCTCTTTATTCCAGTTACTTGGTTTACTTTCCATCACTGCAATTCAAGTTCAATTCTATGGAATTCTTATAATATCAATAGCTTGGCAATGAAATTCCGGTCTGGGCACGTGTCAGGGTAGTACTTTCTTATATAAGTATCGCAATGCCAATTGCACGTACGACCGTTTTCTTTTCGGGTGTTTCAGTAACTTGATGCTCTCACAGTGTTTGCTTAGCGCCAAGGCGCCAATATCCCGGGAACAGCTGTGGGCCAGAAACTGATTAATTGGCCTAAACAGCTCGCTCTGGCTCAAGGCTAAAGAGGAAAAACTATTTAATTACTTGTGGTATGATTAGTGGGGAATATATTGGCATACCCAAGTTCACGAAGCAATGTCGAGAGGATTCCATGGCGGAGTAGATGGGAGGTGCTGCTGTGGCCACAAAAATAGGCAGTTTGAGTGGAGGATCCAAGTAGTTAAACGTTTCTAAATAGTAACTAATTTGTATAGGTTCCAAATGATCTGGATGGGTCATAAAAGGAGCTGTCAGAGGCAGGCGAAGATCACCCTTCAGATCTGTGCTCTGCGATAAAACCTGGATAACTGTTTTGGTCTTAGCATTAGGCTCCAGACTTGTGTAGTTGATTTTTTTGCACAAACGAGTCAGGAATTTTAAAACTCCGTCTTTCGAAACAATCACATAGTTTACACTTTGACCAGGAACAAAAACACTTCGCGGAAGGGCCAGACTTATATTCGAGTTTTCGCTAATTTGCGGTTTGAGATCACAAAATTCCAGGCTTTTTCTTATCACCAGTCGCTGTTGAAAGCACTTGTTATGCTTGCCCTTTCTCTTAATGACAACTTTTAACATATATTCCACATTGCCAAAGGGTAGATTACAAGTGGCCGGCAGATTTTCAGGAAGCTGGAAGTTAAAGTCTCCCATTGGAAAAACACCCGGTTGTAGGCGTAGCCCATCACTCAACGTCTTTGTTTGATTTATATGAACCTTGCTGCCCTTGTAATCCACTTTGGCACAATCCAAGTTTCCACTGCTATCATTGTGTTCGATTTCCGGTGGACCACCAAGGGCTTCCCTCCAATGAACCGTTGAGACGCCATGGATAGTGATACATACGCCTGTCAAAGGGAACACAACAATAAGATCAGAGAAACAGATTGGGCTTCTATTTGCACAGCAATCTCCTATCTAATCATTAAGCCAACTCATTTGCCTAATGGCATCTTATACTTACCCTCTAATGGGAATGGTTTTTTACCCTCAACTGTCACAGTGAGTGAACCCGAAATTTGCTCGCCAGTGTAGTAAATAGCCGCGGCACGCGATAAATTAAATTCACAATTTATTGGCATTTTCAGTGGTAGGAAAAATTATGGCAAATAGCCGCGGAATCCCATTATTACTCGTATATTAGTGTGACTTTCAATAATTCGCATTCACGCAACTGAGACTCTAGAAGCGACCTCGTCGACAGACGGCGAACAACTGCGGGTGACTGTGACAACTTGAGGTTTCAGCCGAAGCTGAGGGAAGTTTGAAAAATACTATCCACACGAGTCGTCTACTTGGGAATTGGCTGCTGTTTTACTGCTAATTTGGCCCGAAGTCTGTTTTGGCTATGACGACACTATATGATATAAATTCAGTTTATTACCCAGCTCAGTGGACTGAGATTTCTTACTGTATTCTTATATACTGTATCTTATCAGGATATGGCCCCTGGCTATATTTAAAACAGCTTATCCATATCTTCTGGGGTATACATAATATATTTTGCTCGTTTAGCTTTATTAAATCGGATTGAATCGAATTGAAGACAGTTAAGACTTAGGAATAGACTTATATGATTTCTGGTTAGACTGGCTTTAAAATCAGAGGAAGTACAAAGTATATAGTAAGAGGAGTTACACAATCTAAATTTAAAGGCTTGTATATAAACTAGAGCAAAAGACACTTTTATATATATATTTAGTTAGACACCTAAAGGTTACAATGATGTGATGATTTGATCCAACTATAATCGGATGACAGGGTAATGTGAAATTATAAAAAACTAAGTACAATTTGGCTAATCTTTGCTTGTAAATTTCTCATAGATACTTTATAAATACAATTTTTTAATATTGGAAAATGTTAATTTCGTATTTAGTTTCGACTCTCCTTTGGGTAAAATTGTGCAGAATTTGTTTGGGTTTTATCTTAGTCTTAAGGGCTAAGGGATTTCATCTAACTTTTCACTACGTTGTTCGTATATATGTAGCCAGCGATCACTGTGCTATGGCCCTATTGTATACTCAATCTTCTTACAATTTGCAATATTTATCAAAAGGAAAACAAGTCATTTAGCTTAAGAAACTAAGACTAGGGAAGAGGAGAGGTAAGAGTAAGCTGAGGATTAATAGAAGAGAGGTTGGATAAAAAAATTATAAATATATTTTGCCCTTATTTCGAAAAAACCTAAATAAGTTTAAAAGTAAATCCATCTTAGCGTTGACAGCTTTAATCCTTCTGCAAAATATATACCTTTTTCGGTTTGGTTCTATAAAAATGTATTCGATTTGCTATATCCAATTTTCATTTACGCCTCAGACTTATGTACTACTATACGTTAGCGCCTTGGTTTGAATTATCGATTTCTATAATATTTTGATTTCGAGTAAATATGTAAGTTGTTGTTGCGGTTGCCTTATTGGTTAACATTTGATGCAGCTCTTTCCATTTCGTTTGATCCCAGTCCGTCTCATTTCTTCTCGCAGGCAAAGGACTCTCCTCCGGCTGTATTCGTGGTAACCTCCTCATCCATCTCCGTTTCCGGTGGCGCCGAATCCTGGCAGCTGAGTGTGAGACGCAGCTGGGAACTGGACTCATCGTAGAGCGTCTCTGGGATTGTCGAGTTTCAAGATTCGAAAGAAGAATTTGGTGAGGGTCGTGAATGGACGGTACAAAATGTAGCATGTTTCGGGGCGGTAACAAGAGAACAAATTTACAAGTTAAGCACATTTTGAAAATGTCTCTGCTCGGCTTACGTCTAATTAACAGAGAAATGCATAGTAAGAAAATGTTAGAAATTGCTAAGATAAAGCGTTGAAAATGTATAAATAACATTCTTAAATGGTAGTTGGTTATATGGTTATATGTGGTCTTAAACTTTAACAGATGCTCTAATAAAGCACCTACAATTTGTCAATATAATTTCAAGGTGAGAAAGGTATTTTTGGTTCAGACGTATACAAATATTTTATAATATTTTATAAAAGGTTCAAATTTTGATAATAATCAGTAAATGAAGATGCAGATATGTGATGGAAGAAAATGGAATAAGTTAAATATTACGAATAATTAAACAATTTCAATTAATTCAATTTAGTTTAAAATGTATGGATTATTCTATATAATACGTTAATATAATTAAACGTGCAATTATTTCAGATACACAATTTTTTATAATAGGAATAAAATGTAATATGATATATAAAAATGTTATATTTAGGTAAGCGTGGAGATTTAATCTAAAGAATATAAGCTAAACGGACATACGGATTAATTTTTAAATTCAATTTAAGAAAGTGGGACATTATTGAATTCTCAAGATCAGACAAAATACTTATTTTAATCCCGAATCTTAAGCAGCTTTTAGCAGACAGACTTGAACGCATTTTATTCTTTCCACATTAAAGCTCCACACTTTAACATAATACAAGACATTTAGAAAAAATGCTCTAACTACTTTTAAGTAAAGGAATAAAATAAGAATATATAGAAAAAGCCACTCAGCCATTCAATTGATTTTTTCATTTTTCGTGTTTCTTTTTTTTTTTTTGTCTTTTGCTTTTCTTGTAAACAATTTTTGTTTTTGGTATTTTTGTATTGGAGGGGTTTTTATGTGTCGGATTCATTAGAATCATCACTACCGGGCGGTATGGTCGGTGTCTCATAATCGTAATAGACCGGATAACGCGGCTTAAAGGGCTCACTTGTGGTAACATCAGCCTGAGCGGACAAAATACTGCTCATGCTAACGTTGGTCAAGAACTCAGTATCATCGCTGAATTTCTCACTCAGAGCCATGGCATCTTCATACGAGGGCGGCACTAAAACATTTGGATTTTATTAAGGCCAAATTGTGGTATAGATGGTAGTTCATTCATATTTGACAATCTTACTCATCGGTATATAGTCCGGGGGATTATCGCTATCGCTGGTCACCAATATTGCTGGCATAGCCGTGGGCCTGAGGGCGGCAGTCGTTGGCGTAGATGAGGGCGTGGAGCTCGTGGGCGTGGGACTGGCATTCACTATCATATTCATATTGCTATTGGTCGGCAGTAGTCCACCCACGAGGCGTCCATGATTGTTGTTGTTGATGCTGCTAAGACGTCGCTGCTGAACTGAGGCACTTGTCCGGTCCCGATCTCGATCTCTATCTCTATCACGATCCAAGTTTTGATCCCTATCCCTATCTCTGTCCCGATCCCTTTGACGTTGCCGCTGCTGCGTCGACATTTGTAAATTTTGACTAACTACTTGGTGCTGTTGCTGCTGGCGATTAAATCGCAGCAGGGCCTCCGGGCCATCCATGATCGGAATACTGCCGATGGTCAGCGGGATCTTCAACTTCAGCTTCCAGTGGAACTCCGTGGGGTTCACAATGATCTTAATCGAATAGTTAACGCTAATGGGGCACGTGGGCTTCACCGAAGTTGGCGGTATCGAAGGCAGGTCCAGATACCCACGGTACACCTTCCTCGACCATCTCAGTACGTTCCCGAACTGCTTCCGGGCGATCAGGTGCTTGTCGTAGCGGTACTCGTGCTGCGGATCATGCGACTCGTAGCTCACCTCCTGCTTTAACTTGACCTCGCACTCGGTTATGTCGATCGAGGACTCGTTGTTGATGTACAGCACGAAGTGGATCTTCTGACCAGGAGCATATCCGCAGTACGGAGTCGAAAACTTCACTGTCAACGGTCCAGTGGGGCAGCAAAAGCTCCAGAAGCGCTTCCGATCGAGGATCTCTAGTGGAACCTAAGATATTAAAAGGTTGGTTAATTTTTGAATAAACGTAAGTACTTAAACCGTCAAAGCAACTTAACCCACATAGCTTGATATACTCACCCTGTAAATAGCATCGGCGTTCAAGTCCAACGGTTGTATCACTGTAAATGGCAGCTTGAAGACCTTCGGGTAGCGGCCGGCCCGTTCGATGGTCGTTATGATCTCGTAGTGGATCTGGCCATACTTGCCGTCGAAGGACGTGGGCAGATTGTCGGGCAGAATGACATGGAAGGTGTACGAGTACTCGCCGGCCGGCCAGTCGATGCTCGAGTTGTTCGCGCAGGATCCGAGGACGTAGGACCGCGAGGACAGGTACGATCGGTAGGCACGGCACATGGAGCGCTCGCTGTCGCGCGGATATCCCTTTTTTATCCAGCGTATCTTGGCATACCCGCTGACGGTGACGTGGATGCCTGCAAGAGGATTCCATACCCCGCCCGCTGTGACTAAGTAATGCCAAATTAGAATTGCAAGTTGCATTCGCCGGACAGCGAGTCATTGCCGCGGACAGGCCATACACTTGAAATAATTTAGTACCTACATATCTCAACTAATGTCTCTACAAATATTATTTATTTATAAGTAATTTATAAGTAGTCTCCGACATATAAATAGTTTTTGAAATTGAAGATTTATTGATATTTTATATGTTTATATTGATTTTTTTAAAGACTAGGTAGTTTCTCGAGAATCAACTTTAAGATGATCCCATTGTTTTTTGGTATCTGGTTCGTAAAGAAGAATTTGTCTGAAAATAAAATTCCAAGCAAATATTTTCCCCAGTGTAATTTGGCTTTCCACAAAAAACTAACAAATAACCACGCCTTTAACGAGTTCATGGATAAATGAAAATGGCGGCATGCCAAGAGCAGCACAACAACTGCAGAATTTTCCACTGTGACAGTCACAACAACAGCCACATACTATTTTTTTGTCAGTGGAGGGGGGAGGAGTAACGATTAATAGCACAGCACGTTCGAAACGGCGTCCGCGGAGGGAGATACATTTTAATATTGCCATTAGCTGGTGTCCTTCGTGCATTTAAATGCAACCGAATTGTCTCACCGCACCGCACCGAAATGCCAAGTGACCGCATCACTCATACGTCCCGTGAGTCATGGGCGGCATTTTTGTAGTATACATTCGAGGGCTCACCTTTAATGCGCTTTGTGGCGTCGACGCTGAGATCAACAACGCCGGATAGCTCCTGTCCGGCATAGTAGACACCTTGTGGATTATTATCAAATGATATAAGGCACTCAATGGGCATATATTGCTATATAGTTGTCGTTTGTGTGTGTGTGTTTATGTCTGTTAACCCCCCGTTTGTCTGTGTGAGTGTGTGTAAGTGTCTGTGTGGATTACTTCGGACTGGGCAAAAAGCAGGCCACAGTTGTAAAAATATCACTTTTCCCTTGTCGGCTGGAGAGATTATGAATCGAAGTATTTGGGTAACGGGCTGGTTCGTTCATTTGCTATTTGCTATCAAGCCATTTGCACTTTGCCTTTTTCGCCTTTGTGGCACACGCACTGCATTTTCTCGGCACCCAGTGGCCAACACACATGCACACGAACAAATTGTGAACGCTTGCTTTTCACGAGCCACCGACCGTCCGACCTCAGAATTCCTTCCGCCGTAACCTACTTTTCTTTGGCACGCACTCAAACGACGGGGAAATCACTTATGGAATTTTCGCCGAAATATTCGCAGAATTAACTCAGCCGAGGAAAATTAATTATTATTTGGTGGCCCCTTTGTTTGTCTGTCTGTCTGTTCGTCCGCCTATCCCTAGGTTTTCTGGCTTGAGCTCCGTTCTCTTGGCTTTTCGTTTCGATTCCGTTCGCTCGCAGCTCACAGCAAACACGTCAAGCAGCCGTTCGTGTTGGATTTGCTCTACCCGCATGTCATCATCGTGGCAAAGGTACAAGCCACCAGCCGAGCGCTCGTGCGAAAGCCGACAGGACTCGCTTTTGGCCAAAACAACAACCCCGAGAGAACGCCACCGAGAGAAGAGTCACGCACATGTGCTGCCGCTGTTTGTTTATGTGCACATTTCTAGCATTTCACTTGGCCTTTTTCCGAATTGGCGGTATAGAAATGTTGCTTTTAAATTTATTAACATATTAATTTATTTACTATGAATAAAAAAAACCAATAACTGATATATAGTCAACGATGTCGACAAATTATGATTTCTCGTTTATTTTCATTAATGAATTTTCTTCCCTTTTTATTCGCAAAACAAAGTGTGACCGTAAATGCTAAATTTCAAAGCGTCATCTACCAACAAAATCGAAGAGTCCTCAGCAGCGTCACCTTGTGTCAATATCGCACTGACATCAGTGGCGGCATCTTACGCCAAAATCGAATAACCCACAAAGCCGTCACCTAGCGACAATATTGTAGAACACCCTAGGCGACACCTAGTGTTAGAATTAAGACATTCTCAGTGGCGGCACCTAGCGACAAATTCAGTATTAGTGGTGACACCTATTTTCAAAATGGTAAAATATGGTATTTTTATCCTTTTGTAGCCCTCTAGTGAAAATTTCTTAGTCTCAAAAATACCAAACATAGGTATTTTTATTCATTTTTTGTAGGTACGGCAACTCTTTGAAACAGTTGATGATAATCGATTACAGATAATAATTCGCTTTCAAAAAGCAAAAATTATTTCCCATCAAAATGATTAAATTTTTAATGATACTGACCGAAATGTTTATAAAAACTAGTTATAACATGTAGGTATAATATATATATATATATGTTGCAGAATTTTAACCATTGAATCGATTTTCTATTCTTTAGGTTCAATGGATGTCCAGAATTAAAAACACGAAAAAAATTATATTTGCTGCCTAGTTAAGCCTTTGTTGAGTAAAGTTCATACACGAAATCACAGAAAATCAATTGTTTGTGCAATTTATTAATGATTGATTTTTTAAGCAAACTAGATAATAACATTTTTTTATAATAAATGCAAAACAATAGCTTAATTTACGAAAAGGGCCAAGGTACTATTACCACTTCATTTAAATATGATTTCTTGCGGTTCGTTTAATCGATACATTCGCCATCCCTGGCAGAATCATATCAAAATCTAACAGAGCGGCAACTTCATCAGCTGTTTTTTGCAAATGTTTTTTCTCAATAAAATTGCGAATTAGTGGCAGATAACGGTTTCACCAGCAGATAAGCTCAAAACTGACCTTGAATAAGTACGTGAAATTGTGTTCTGTGCAGGTGCAACTAATCAGAAGATAAATCCCACAAATACAGTGAAGTTCCTACAGACGATTCGCAGGATGAGCCAGAAAACCTCAGAGGTGCCACTTTCAGGTAAGTATTTTCATTGATTTTGATTGATTCGAATTATTATCCATATCATACTAGCACTTCGACTTAAGTACCATGAACGCAAAGATGCCTTCCTGGAAGACAACATCGAGGTGAAAAACCCCTTTTGTGTGTTTCGCGATTGGTTGGAGTTGGCTCTGAAAACGCCGGAGATCCTGGAGCCTAATGCGGCCGCTTTGGCAACTGTAAGTTCCGAGGGAAAGCCTAGCAATCGCTATGTGCTAGTCAAGGAAGCCACCGCCGACGGATTCACTTTCTTCACCAACTACGGAAGTCGCAAGGCGGAAGAGATCAAGTCCAACCCCAACGTAGCCATATCCTTCTACTGGCTTCCTTTGCGGCGCAGTGTCCGCATCGAGGGCGTGGCTGAGAAGATTTCTCCAGAAGATTCCCTCAAGTACTTTCACCAGCGACCGAGGGCCAGTCAAATTGGAGCAGCTGCCAGTCCACAGAGCCAGCGGATTCCATCGCGAAGCTACTTGGACGAGGTGGAGGCGGGCATCAAGCAGCAACTGGGTCCCGATGGAGAAGTTCCTCTGCCCAACTGGGGTGGTTACTTAGTCCGTCCCGACTTGATTGAATTTTGGCAGGGTCAGACTGATCGCCTCCATGACCGCATTCGGTTCAGACGAGGTGCAGGAGTAGAATCTGAAGTTGACGGCAAATTAGTTCACAAGGGAGAAGATGGCTGGGTCTACGAGCGACTGGCTCCCTAAGCATAGAGATCTGCAGTTGAGTAACAGATGCATTACAAATGTCTTCCAAATGTAGTTAATATGAAGAGTTGTTAAATTTTGTTTCGGAATAAATGCTAGGCCAAACCTATTAATGGTGAAAATGCTTTTAAATCGAAGAATACTTTCATTCAGCTTATGTGCAAAATCGAGGGTAAAATCATAAAAAAAAAACTTCAGCACTTTCTATTTGAAGATTCGGTAAGGTTAGACTAAATTCAGCGATTAGATGTTGCGAAGGTCTTTGATCGGTACGTGACACAAGTAGCTAAAGTCATTTTAGTCAATCAATATTTTTGAATAACAAAATAAATTACTAGTTACCTTATTTCAAATTACTATGTCGTCGGTTTTGGTACAAAAACTTTGGTTCTCGTTTTGGTCGCCAGGATCAATGAGTCGCCTAAGACAGCAAGTGTGTCATGTTTCGCAACAGGCTAACACCATAGTCAGCGAAGAGCATCGGGTCTACGAAGAGCCGTATGTAATTTTCCAGAACTGGCTGATGGCGGCCCAAAAAGAGGCCCCTCAGGTCCGACCACGACTCGCCTGCATGGCAACAGTCGACAAGGCCGGTGAGCCTGTTACGCGTTTAACCAGCATCGAGGAGGTCAGCGCCAACGGGATCACATTTTTCACGACTCTGGGCAGTAGACAGGCGGGTGAGATCAGCACCAACCCGCACGTTTCGCTGCACTTTAATTGGGCCCCGCTCATGCGTAGTGTCCGGATAGCAGGATCAGCCCAACAGCTGACAGAGGAGCAAGCCTTGGACCAGTTTCGGCGATTTCCACGGCAGGTCCAGATGTGCATAACCCATGGTCCACGTTATGCTGCGGCTGATTGGCAATCTCGCTCAGGATTTTTTGCCCGGATTGTTCACCGCTTAAACTCCTGGCTTGGCAAGCATCCGGAGGAGATCGAAATGCCAAAAAACTGGGGAGGGTACATTCTGACTCCCACCCTATTCGAATTCGGGATGCTCAGCGGAGAGAAAGCCGGCCGGACTCGGGTGAGATTCCGGCGTTGCCTTGAAATGCCAAGGGTAAGTCCTGATAATCTTAACATTAAAGATCCTAAAATTCTTAATGAATTTTCAAAATATTTTCTTTTGGAAATATCTATTAGGTTTTTATTTCATTTTAAACCCAATTAAGATTATAAAACTTATTGTTTTTCCAGGGAGCAAGAGTTGGCACCGTCCAAGCTGAGAGGCAAGATTGGGTCTATGATTCGTGTGAGGAAAATTGACATTAAGTTTCCTTAAGATCCTATACGCATTAAACTCCCTCTGGATATTATAAAGTTGTAGTCACATACTTATTCTCCTCCTGGTCACATCCGTAAAAGTGTAGCTAAATTTATAGTCAAATCAGTATAATTGTGGAAGTAAATATATGTATTGTGGTGAAATATTGATGTCATATATTTATTAATATCCTTTGTAGTGTAAAGCACAATGGTTTAGTTTGGTGAGCAACATGTACGTGTCGCTCCAATTGTTGGACAATATCTGTTTTGTACAAAATCATTAAGGCTATGCTTAGGCTAAGCCGCGTAGCTGCGCTGCCGGTAAAGCCAGCAGCGGAGCGGCTGCATTATGTATACATATATATATGTTGTTATATATTGGCGGAAGGCGGCGAAAAGTGCGACGGCCAACGAGGAAACGCGTGGGCAGCACTTTAAGTTCATAGCGCATATATGTGATCATCTTACACATGTTAGAGTCCTCTTTTCATAAAACTTAATGAATTTTTAGCAAGTTTCAATAATCTCAAAATTAAGTTAGTTTAAACTAAAAGCTAACATTCAAGATCGTCACTTAACGTTTTGAAAAAATAACAACATTTTAATGAACGCTAACCCAAAAATGTATGCACAATATTTATGAATTATCACATTTTTAATTTATACATTGATTGAGTTTTAACATTTTATTCGTATTTATAAAGCATACACCATAATATACATTTTTTTTTTTTATTTTAACATTAAACGAACGGAGGCAAAATAAATAATTAAATAGCGCAGTCCCTTACTATTCTCGCCCATTGCAGGAGATCAAAGGTGTTGACGGGATGGAAAATTTAATGAATTGTATTCGAGCTGCAAATGAATTTACCGTCAAGGGAGCTTATGTCATTAACGGTTCGTTGCGAAATTGGATTTACAAAACCAAAAAGCGTTAGTTCTTTCAGTTCGGCTTCAATCGCATTTAAAATGCATTAAAAGCTTGCCTCACAGCCGCCTAATTGGATGTCCTTGGGTCCTGGAAAAATGCCCACTGCACGTGAGAGTGTGTGTGGGTGTGTGGGCACGTGAAAATTTAATAAAATAAATAGGCGATTGCAGTCAAGCGCAAAGAGTAATGCCCGCCGGGAAATGTGGGATGGATGACTATGATGTATAAGGATGTGGGGAGAGGGGAGGCCAAGCGGCAATGCCAAGCAGCAGACAACAAATAGTGAAAGGCAAAGCGCAAGGCCGGAAAAGCACACACCTCCCATCTGCCATCCATACCACCTCCCACTTCTTCCCCCGCTATACAAATTTGCCTTTGCACTCCTTTGTAATTGTAGCCATCGCTCTGTCAGTCGTTCGTTTCCTTCCTCGGTTCATTTTTCGGCTTTCCTGTTTACTTTGTCCTCGTCTGCGCTTTCTCTTATCCTTCGTCTCTCCGGCGTTTTGTTTTGCTCGTCCTGTTTCGTCCTTTTTCGGCTTTTTCCTCCTGGAGGGTGTGTGTTTAGCTTTCTCTCTCTCTATTTGTGCATCTCTCTGCGGCTCTCTCGTGGAAAGTGCAGAGAGTACGAAAACTTGTTGGCAAGGATAATGAATATTTCTTATTTTCGTTGCGTGCTAGCTCAGTTGGACAGGGTTGCCAATGTTTTTTAAATTATGTTAACCATAAATAAATAACGAATACAAAAATTCAATAAAATTTTAAAATTGGTAACATTTAAAACATGTAAATAATTATAAATTCGTAAAGGTATAATATGTTTTGCTACTTATGCTTCATACTAATTATATGATTAAAAGTTCCTTTTAAATCATTATGAAATGAAAATAATCATCAAATCAATAATTTTAAAAACCTTTAATGATTATTTTCATATCCTGATGTTTTCATTTTCTAACCAAATTGCATATTTCCTACATGTTTTTCGATTTATTTCAAAATTTATATTAAAATAATGTATTTATCGATTCAATAAAATTCAATAAAATGTTAAAATAAAATCCTCTGTATTTTCTATATTATCCTATGGATAAGCCACCTGGAAACCCTGTGCGCCTGCCGCTTTTCCTATGGCTTTCGGCCAGGCCCACTCCGCGTTGAACCACGGCAGCTGACAGCGAACAGTGAGGGTTGCGGTCTCGTTCAGTTCGCCGCGCGGCTCCGGCTCCGGCAGTTTCAGTTTGAGCTTGTGATTCAGATTAAGATTCGGTGTCAGTTCCGAATAAACTTCGGCGGGGAGCAGAAGGAACAGAAGGAGCAAAGCGGAGCTGTGGAGCCCGACCAGGACATAAAAATAGACAAAGTACTGAAACAATAACTCGAGGCGGCAAGCTAGTGTAGAATTTTTTACATATACAATTACGAGGGAGCGGAAGCAGGAAGTGGCGGAATAATTAAGAACAAAAACGCAATTTCAATTATCGTTAGTGTAATCTTCAATGTGAATTTAAATGTGAATTGTGAGTGTTCGGTGTACAGCAGTTTTTGCTAGACAGTTTGTTTCTCTGAATGTGGTGTACTTTTTCCCATTGCAAATTAGTTAGTGTGGCTTAATCAAATATATATATATTATATGTAGTTAAATTTAATGGTATATACATGTGTTTATGTGCAAGTATTTTTGCTAAATTTTTTGAATTGACATTGAATGTATACTTTTTGAATGGTCGTGCAATTATCGTAATTTGAATAAAGAAACTCTGGCCGCTTTCAAACAACACAAAAGGACTAAAAATCGTAGTCCTTTTTTCCCAAAAACTGTGAGTGTGTGTGTGGCCATTTGCCTTTGTCCATCTAGTTAGGGGGTGTGTCCAAAGGGGGCTAGTTGGGGGAATCTTTTTACATAAGCAGGACAAGCTGCAAATGGGACGGCCACCTGCGGCTACACGGCGGCCACTCAACGCTGGGAACCCTCGCATTGTCCACCGCTGAGTGCTGCGTGTCCTTGCAACGTGACAGCCCGATTGTGTGTGTAAGGATATGCAAAGAAGTCTCACATCCCGACAATGGCCCACTTAAAACTGGACACCCTTCACGTGCAGCGTAGCCCCCGCAGCTCCCGCCGCAGCAGTCCGAGTAGCGGAAGGAGCAGTGCCTGTAGTTCCGGGAGCATCTCCCCGGTCCCCATCATCCCGATCATAGCCATCAGCCACGATGGCGACGAGTCCGAGTCGGAGTCGGAAATTGAAACGGAGCCGGCGCGCCTCTTTCAGCGCCGCATGTCCACTAAGTGCACCAACAACATGGTAAGTACTAAATACTAGATAAATACTACTGCACTACGAAAATATCCCATTAGGAGGCTATGTTTCCAAAGTTCCCTGTCACTCTATAGATTCTCTAAACTCTTTATTCTGTTCTATTAATAGTTTGTGTTCAAAAATTACTTAACACCAGCTTCATATTAAGGAATATATAGTTTCTAGTTAGCAGTGACATCTTAGGTTCTTAAGCTTAAACATTGTTTTCAAAATTGAATATTAAAAAACATATCTATTAATGGAATTCTTAATGCATATATAGTTATGGGTCAAACACAAAAACAAAGCGGAATTGCTAGCATTTTCTCTCCGTGTGTCAAGAGTCCTCCGGCTTTGTCACAGGACTTACCATGGCGGTGCAACGGAGCGTCCTCGCTAAAGTTTCTGGAGCGGAAGTTGCATGCAAACGGGCAAACGGGCAAGCAGCAGCCGAGGCGGTGTGGGGTTGCTTTATATGCGAGTTGCGTGTGTCGAGAGTTTATGTTTCGAGTGCCTTAGTGCGCTGCACCACTGCCAAAGGTCAGAGGCGCAGTTCAAGAAGTCGGTAAAATATTTTAGTGTCGCTGCTGCATAGGTCAGGGGTCAAAGCAGCCCCCATTTGGTGATTGCTCCGGCTTAGCGTGGCGCCCATTTCAATAATCATTTGAGTGCATTATTAAAATGTAATCCGACGCTGTCCAAGTAGCCCGAAATTAAATAAATTGTATCGACTTGCGACCCGCGGAGGAACTGGAAAAAAAGGAGGAAAATGGAAGGACCAGCGGACCGTTCTTGTATTTTAATTAAACGTTGCCATAGTTGCCCGGAGGCCAGGTTTCCCGAATAAAAGAATCAAAATGATGGAAAAGAGAAAGAAAGGCAAGCCCCTCAAAAAACTCCGCGAAGCCCGAGAAAAGCTTCAATTAGGTTCTTTATGGTTTTGGTGTCACTTTGAAGCGTCCAAGGCTCGACCCTCTTCTCTATCCCTGGTACACCGCGTCGTATGAATAATATTCCCGGGCCAAAATTGAAGCCCCGGTTACTGGCCATTTGATGTTAATTATACGCATCGTTGCACTGACCCTTCCACCCAACTTTGCCCTTTGGATACTCATTGTATTTTTATCCGCTGAAATTTCGGCAAATTTCGTTTCACCCTCGATTGTCCAACTGCAATTTGGGCTTTAAGCGAAGGCATTTGTTATTTGTGATTTATGGCATTCAAGGGCTGAGCAAAACACATTTGCCTGATTGTGACAGACAAGCAACATTCAAGTGCTCCCATGTGGAGAGGGGCGTGGCCCCATAAGCACTCACACACAAACACACATGTGGGCCATAGTTGGTGGTGTGGGGTTTACACATGTCAAACCGCAAAACAATAAGCGAATGCTAAACAAAAGCAGCTTAGTACAGGGCTTGATGGCAGCGTTTTGGTTAGCGTGCTGCCAACGCTGAAGGCGGCGACAATAAGACAATAGAAAGGGCCTCAACAGTTGGCACACAGTGCAGGGCAAGGGTTTAAGAACAGGCTGTAAACAAATTAGGAACATAAACAATAACATAATCTTTAGAATAGTCCTTCAGGAATTTTCGAATAATGGGTTTCCTTTAGAGCCTAACATATTTCATTCTGTAAGCTGATTTACTATTAAAAATATACGTATATTACTATTTTTATTATTTTTAAGATTAACAGACAATTTTTTTCTTTATTTTTATATATTTTTGTTTATATTTAAATATTCCCTAAAAAACTAAGAAATTTCCGACAACACCTTTTTTCCACCGACTGTATACCTTCTTAGCCATTTAAATCCAAGAATAAGTAAACCTACAATACAAACAAAGCCAGAAGTCTTGCCAACTCTTGTCCCCTGCCTTCTACTTTGGATTGTCTTCAGTGGGCCGTTGCCGCAATATCCTTGAGT